CAAAGACAGGTACTTCATTTCCATAGCCTTTCTTAGGTCGTAGGAGCAGGTCAAAGTATTGGAGGGCGGAGCCCAAACTTCTCATTCCATCCACCGCCTTTTACCTTCCCAACCTATAAGGGTGGACTGGTATTAAAGAGGCCAGTAATACTATATAATGACCCCACCCTGCCGATATAAATTCGATAACATAAACTACCAGACTTCAGTCTTGTTCTGGCAGCCGTGCAGTGTACATGGGGGAGGCCTGTCTCAGACAGTTTAGCTTGCCAAGTAAAAATTTCTCTTCAAGACACTTAAAAATGAGACACACACACATATATAAGAAGCTATATTCACGAGTATCCAGAAATATGAAGTATACTGGCTTGCCATATTCTGACTTGTAGCTTGAGACCTTGGTTGACAGTTACATGCCCAGTTCTACATACAGAGCCTAAGTCCATACTGGTTTATCTGACTGCAAGTAGGCATCACATTTACAAGCCATATGTCAGACACAAAACTGCCAAAGCTAATTCAGTTGTGAGAAAGACAGATACAAGTAGACACTTTGAAAGTTTGATATAGCAAGGAAGGGTACTACATGTATATAGTAAGGGCGCCATATACATGTGCATGTATGTCATTGGATAAAACTTTGACAGGGCTGATTTGAAAGTTGGAATTTGTTCAAGATTGATTTTTCGAACTGAAAGTTGCGATTTCCTTGCTTATGTGGCTTCGTAACAAGTATCTGGGTCATTCTGCCTTTTGAAAATGTTACACTGAAAACCAGTAGATGAATAAAAAAAAATTGAATCTTTGAAAACTGACCAGTATGCAAATGCTCCTGCCTTTGTTCTGAAGGATAGACAGTCTAGGATTTTTATGAGTTTATGGGCCAATTCACTATTCAATCTGCTGGGAAGGTCACAGTGGGAGCACTTCCTTATTGTTTTTACCCAGGGTAAAATACTGGCCGGTTTAAGTGTTTTTTTTTTTTACCAATGACACACCGTCTTGTCAGGAATTAAACCTGTGTTTAGTCCCCTGGCCTAGCAATCCTACCTGGGGTCGTATGGCGTAGCGGAAGAGTGCTCGACTCGGAATCAAGAGGTCCCGGATTCGAGTCTTAACGTGCCACCGATATTGTGCCCTCGGGATAATCTCCAAGCAGATCCCTCTCGGTGGCAAAAAGACAGTATCAAATTGGCCAGACAGTATCCATTAGCCAGAGAAGCTCCATTTGCCACCGATGGATCGTGACAAAAAAAACGGCCATATATAAAAAGGTAACGATCATTCCCCACAACCTTTGCTTGGAGAGTACCCTCGGGATAGGCCCTTTACACGACTTTCCTCAAATCGCTCAGGTGAAAATGTTTTGTATAGTCAACCGTGTTCGTGACGGTATTAATAAAAGTTGAAAAAAAAACTCGAGTGTGCCGTCACCACATCTTGTGATTAGATGTTGGAATACATATATATATATAAAAAACTGATTGTAACGCTTCATCAAAGACTTGTGCTACCCCTTATTATTTGAATAATTATGATATGGATATGTTAGGTAATTATTAGACATTGGGTTTTATTTAACATACTTATGTTCTTGTTGTTACTCTCCTTATGTAATTTGCCATACATTGTACCATGTGCAATTGTCGTGCAATAAAGCTCTTCTTCTTCTATAAAAAACTTCAGACGTCAGACGCCGACAATTTTAACTAGTACTAAATATTAACGAAAAAAGGGTTTGAAATGTATGTTTCCTGTCTAATCTATAATGAGCAACACTTTACAATTATATTAGAATTAGGGAGTTTAAAACAACACATTTAACCCAAGCCATTTGAATCGGTGCATGTATGTTATCATACGTAGCCATCCCCATTTACGTAATCACTATATCAACAATACAACCCCTGCTACCTGAGGCTGAGTGGGGTCAAAGTTCGTTTATTGAACTTTTCACGCCACCGCTCACATGACACAGCAGTCACACCCCCTGACTGTAGCTGTGTTTTGAGATATACTGTCTTGAATTTGCTTCTTTTGTCTGTGATACGTGTTTGGAGCCTCAACTGCTGACACTACGATGTACCGCTGGGTGTGTCTACTATTGGTGATGGCCACTATAGTGGGCCGGAGCACGGCACAAGACATGTGCGGCTATAAGGTAACACGCTATACCCTACCCTATAGTGATAGTATCATAATAGTGTACACCCGTACTTGGTCGTAATGAATGTCGACAAATAACGTATCAGAAACATCATATATTCGTACATCTACAACTAACTCGAGGGGTGAAAAGAAGTTTAACATATAGATATAGTAGTTCACCTCAGTCTGTGTATTTTTTATAATATTTTATATTTGTTTATAACAATTCTGCAAATACACATGTACATGGAAGGCCTGGTGGAACAGGTAGACCTAAGTGAACCTTTTCAAAGCCACCATGCCGACAAATAAATTTTATAACAAGATACGGATGTATATTCTACTTTTATTAAATCTACTTAAAATTTAAGTGCATAAACGTACATTAAAGGTCTTTAGTACATTGTACATAAAGTCTATTATTCATACGTAATGTATTAGATAAGGATTTGGCCAAACAAATATAATACTAAGTAAACATAACGCAAATATTTCTAACGTTTGAAAAACAATCACCGAAATGGACCATGCTAAATGGAAAGTTAATGTTTAATCAAGGCCCATTTAATCCTTATTGCCTATATACAGTATGGGAGATAAACATATACCATGGGGATATTTTTGAAACACGCCTGGAATATCACAATAGTTCATCCAACGCTTCTAAAGTTCTCCTGCTAATTCAATAAATAAAACGACAAAATGTTTGAAAATATAACATTTCTTATAATGGTAAGTAGATTATCATTAAACGGTAAATCTGATTTATCAATAAATCATTATAATATGTTTGATTTATGATATGTTCAATTAACTGAATTCAAAGCCCAGTAGCTATTAGGGACTGCGTGAAAACACTATAAATTCCTAGACACAAGTGTTGGCTATTGCGACAAAAGTCTAAATATTTTGTCCAACATTAATAAATTGGGACTTACCCAAATTTTCGGCCGACACCGTCAGCCCTGTTCAAGGAATGGACACAAGTAACAATATCGTGTGTATATTTTTTGTTGTTGTTTTGTGGAGTTGTGTTGTGTTGTGTGTTAACCTCGAAACTCCGGAAACTATTAATTCATTTTCTTCACGTTCCAGAAATGCTCGGCGCTGCCTGTGAAGCCAGGCTATGTGAATGTCCACCTGGTTCCGCACACTCATGATGACGTCGGCTGGCTAAAGACCGTGGACCAGTACTACTATGGTGGTAAGATTTTTTTTTCAAGATATATTTCTAAATACCTGTCAAATGCGTTAAGTCGTCGATTCCTGATTCTATTTGTGTTACTCTTTTTTTCTATCCTCTCATCTCTATCTTAATCCTTCCTCTCATATTTTCTCTATTCTTAGTTTTTTTTAATCTCAATCCTCCCTCTCTTCCAAACGGTAAATTATGGAGATTTTCTAACGATAGTTTTGTCCTTTTCCAGCTCTCTGTCTCTCTCTCCCTCTCTCTCTCTCTCTCTCTCTCTCTCCATTCCCATCTATTTGTTTCTCTTCCATTGAGCCATTTTGGGAGTTTTAATGATAATTTTGTTCCCTTCTAGCTAGCAAAATTATCCGGATTGTACATTATCTTTGTCTTCCTCTCTCTTTTTCTTTTTCTCTCTCGCACACACTCTCTCTCCCCCTCTCTCTTTCATGAAGTCATTTTCTGAAAAGATGAAACGATAATTTTGTTCCCTTCTAGCCAGCAATAGCATTCATATTTTGGGACCTCTCTCTCTCTCTCTCTCTTGCCCCCCTCTCTCTCTTTCTCTCTCTCTCTTTATCTTCCTCTCATTCACTCTCTTGCTTTTTCTCCCTCTTCCTCTCTCTCTTCCGTTCATTCATTTTTTTAGATGTTCTAACGATGATTTCGTCCCTTTCCAGCCAATAACAGTATCCAGATCGCAGGTGTTCAGTACATCCTGGACTCGGTGATCCCGCAGTTGGAGATGAAGCCGAGCAGGACGTTCATCTACGTGGAGATCGCGTTCTTCTACCGGTGGTGGCGGGAACAGGACGCCGACATGAGGGAGAGGGTCAGGAAACTCGTCAACAACGGTACGAAATTACTCCGGGTGTAATGTCCAAAACAGTCTCATCTAAGAACTAGAAAGGTAACACTTGCAGAGCATGTGCATAGTGAGTACCTTGCCTCCATTGCAGGCTTATAGAACTGGGGGTTTGGTGGTCTTTAGCTCTTTTCTGATCAGCCCAGTTCTGAAAACGGGGGTTATTGAATCAGATCGGCTTTTTTGTCTATATGCAATCAGAAACTAGCTCCCAAAGACTCTGAAGACCCCCAAAACCAACCTCCAATTTTGGCATGCTATTAAGGCTAGTGATTACATGCACACGTTCCAGCCTAACAAGCTATTACTACATTAAGCCCCTCCAATTCTGCGCTGCAATTTGCTACAATGTAACCGAACACCACGGGGGTGTCTGCTAAAGTACCAGTTACCATAGTGACAGACGTCTGGTCCAGGGCATTTACCTTATGTGATTGGAGAAAAGGAAGAAGAAACAATATGTTTCCTTCTGTAAACACAGTGCCCCCCCCCCTGCCATAATTATCAATAAAGCCGTTAGACCTTTATATTGCCCCAGGAAAAAAAAAAGATGCTTGCAAAAGAAGGGGGTGAGGTATGAAGCATGAATTGTAACAGTTGTTGCTGTGTTGTGTTCCACGCATAGAGATTAAAACAGGATGGACAGTGCTCATTTGTACTTAAGTAAAGTGGGGAAAGTTGTGCTAAGTGTATCTCCCAAGGGCGCAAGGTCGGTGGCATGTCGGGACTCGAACCCGGGACCTCTTGGTTCCTATTCGAGCACTCTACGGCTGGGTCATCGTCAAGCAGATATAGAGTGGCGTACCTATAAAGTTATTTCCAAGCAGATGCAGGGTTGCATATGTAAGATGAACAACATATTTCACTGATAACGCGCCGAAATGCCAGCTTTTTGTAAAAGCACTTCAATTGACAGTGTTCATTGACAGTGTTCCTTCATTTACAATTATCCGCAAAATGCCAGTTTTTTTCAAAAGCTTTCTTGTTGTTCTTCAGGCCAGTTGGAGTTTATAAACGGCGGCTGGTGCATGAATGACGAGGCCAGCACACACTACAACGCTATCATCGACCAGATGACGTTAGGTCTGCAGTTTCTCAACACGACGTTCGGTGAGTGCGGGCGCCCCCTAGCGGCCTGGCACATCGATCCATTCGGGCACTCCCGTGAGCAGGCCTCGCTCTTCGCGCAGGTAGGTAAACTAGCCTCTACCAGGCTTCAGGCCGGCTGGAAAGGGTAGAAGTTGGTCAAATAGAGATAACATGCCGAGGGAGTTTTTCAGCTAGAGAGTACATTTTGCCGTAGAACAAAGATACTGGGTAAACAAGAAAAAAGACTACAACCAGCGGTCGTAGAGACAGTGCGCTGTTCTCTAATTTGTCAAGAACATTGGACTGAAAGTTAAAGTCAATCCCTCACCTTTTACTGTCTTTTCCTCAGCCAAAGTCGGGCGATAATTCTTAAGCGTGTGCGTGTATGTATATGTATGTATGTATGTATTTCTGCACGCGCTTGTGTGTGTGTGTGTTTGTGTGTATGTGTTTGTATTATGTGTGTGTGCGCGCTCGTGTGTGTGTTTATGTGTGTGCGTCAAATCTTTTTATCAATAAAAAATGTATTGATTAAATTACTAAAGAATCTTACTTCTCCAGATGGGATTTGACGGTTTCTTCTTCGGGCGGCTGGACTACCAGGACAAGGCAAACCGACTGAAGTACCAGAACATGGAGGAGATCTGGCGAGCCAGTCCGGACGATCTGGGGCCGGCTGCAGACCTCTTCACAGGTGGGTCCCTCCCTCCATAAAAAGATTCCGATTCACTTTGCTCAGAAATGGGTGCCATCTCCATTTCTGTAGCCTTGCGTGACGTGGTTGTGCAGACACCACAGCAGGGGCCAAGTCCGCTAGTGTAGTGTGTTAGACCTTCCCAAGCTCTTTCTGTCTAATAGTTGCTGAGTTCTATAGGAAGAGAAAGCAGTTTGTAAGTCTTTGGTACATATGACCCGGTCGGGGTTTGAACTCACGAGCTTTTAAGCATTTAACATTGTCATTGCTTCCCTGTTTTTACTCAATACTTTTAACGTTAAGACCCTGTCACACATTTAACAATTCAGACTTCCGGATACAAGCTGAACTCCGCCCAACCATGGTTAGGAGTAGGTCGGGAGCAAGGTCGGCTAATAATTGGCTACAGTTCGGCTGCTCCAGCTGAATGTTTCGGTTTTGGATGGGGGGTTCGGCCACGAGTGTCTGGTCTTTGGCTCGTGCTCGACAGTGTATGTATATAGTAGCGTCGTTGGCATTCAAATTCTCATACTTGACACAACTTCAATTCTGTTCATATTAAAAGGTAGGCGTTACCTAAATCGGGTCAGCCTTCTATCGAACTTTTGCTAACCTTCTCTCTACTGATGTTTAGGGCAAGGTTTGTAACAGGGCGGATGAGAAATCGGTCAAACTGTTTAAGCTTTGTGATACACATTATGTAACAATAATTATAAAATGTTTAGTCTTGGAATATGGAGTATTCTACCTTAACCATCCTTCCACAAATGTGGTAAATCTTCATAAATAAATACATAAATAAACCAGATGATATTCAAGAAGAAGTCATGTGAGATTATGATTGCCTCCTTGTTGATTTTACATGTCTTTCTTAATTCCTACCTTCTATACAGGCGCCCTGTACAACCACTACGTTCCGCCAGGGGGCCTCTGCTTTGACATCGGCTGTGGGGACCAGCCTGTTGAGGTGGGAGGTTCTTTATACTCTTCATATAACATATTCTTAGTCTCAAAACAGTCCAATAGCCTCAAACATATTGCAACCAAACATGGGACAACGTTGATCAACATGGAGTCTACTTTAACGGAAGTCTTGTTTTGGGAGTCACTAATTCATGACAGCTTTCTGTGTTTGGGCCAAGTGGGCGGAGTTTGGATTTCATTTGATTGACAGGTTATGAGCTGGTATGTCTGTTCAAGTTCATGGTCACCAATGGTGTATGAAACGAGGTGTTGTAGCGTAGTAAGCTTTGCCACACAATAGTATGAGTAGTAATGTTTTCTATGATTTCAAATAGGCAACAAAGACGTAATTTTATGGAAGACCCCCAAACTAGTGCGCAAGGGCGAATAAAAAAAAATCCTGCCAAAATTAAAAATGCAAGTAAACCACAGGAATGGAAAGCTGGCATTGTGAACTTGTGGCAGTACATATAGCGACGTATACAAGCCGGCACTTGATGGCTTTCTGCAAAATTTGCAAATAAGCAATGTACGTATGTACTGAGTTCTTGAGTCGTGGAACTTCGGTAGCCTGGGTGCCATCGTCCGTAATTTCCATACTGTCGCTAACTACCATGGACTACCCATGCCGCCGATGTCATCCATAAAATGAACTTGGTGTGGCCTTATTATCGCAAACTAAGGCCATGTTGATTTGATTATATGGATGACATCCTCCGGGAGCCCCAAAACTGATGCGCGCGTGCGAATAAAAAAAGTTTTGCAAAAAAAAAAAGTTATTTTCATAATGAAATCAACGTGGTCATGAGGGTTGAGCAAATGGCACAGAATATGGTTTGGTGAATAATGTAGTCTTCACGACGGAAGTTCGGTGGGGCAAATCAACTCCCAACGTTGAAAATACAATCACATACACATACACATACAAGAGTAACACTCCCATCGGGCGGCCGGTGAGCTGCACGGGAAAACTACTAGAACTCCGAAGACAGCCTGCCCCAACCACGATAGGCTAAGTCTTCCAATTCAAATATGTTTAATTCATTGTTTAAGTTAATTTATTGTTTAAGTCATTGGAATGAACTAGACCTGGAAGTTCGTTCTTTACGGTACTCCTTGTTCCGGAAACACCTTATTAGATTAGTACGCCCCCTTTGTCCCCCACATTACAATTGTGGCCCGCGTTACACCTGCGCCCTTCTTGTTCGGCTCCGCATCGGCACCTGTGCTCTTAATCACAGTTTGTTTACCCGAGGACTCTCTACCAGTGCCTCTTGTAGATGCGGGTGTCGTTGCGAATCTGTCATGCATTTTATGCTACATTGTCCATTATACAATAATAAGAGATCGGAACTTTTTGGCAATCTTGCAGATTTACTCGGTCATCTTGTCAACCTTAACTTAATATTATGTCAGATAATGCTAAACTGCACTTTATTCTTAGAGGCTTCTTAATGTTACCCTCTATGTACAACTTTAAAACGATGCAACTCACTCAGGTTTACATTGGAGATACCAAGCGCTTCTAGCTCTGCTTGACTGTTTCTAACAGTCAATTAGATATAGAAGTCCAAATACTACGTAAGTGTTAATGGGCCTAAATTTCCCCTCCTAGCTCTGATTGGCGGATGTTTTTCGCCAATGAGATATAGAAGGTTACCATGTAATCTTATCTTTCAAATATCTCTGTTAGCATTTAATTTAACATTTTAATGTCTTGGGGTGGTGGGACTACGGCGCACAGATATGTCAACTTTGTATATGTTAATTGTACCTTTTTGTTGTGTGGCGCTGTTAATATAAGTTGTTAACTTAAGTGCAGCGCCACACTGTCCTTCTTATGTTTTTATGTTTTGATGAATAAAAAGAAAAAAAAAGTATGTTTAATTTTTTTGTCAGGATGACATGTCCCTGCACGACTACAATGTGGCGAATCGAGTCGGCATCGCTGTCAATACGTCCTTGGAGCAGGTGGGTAAAAATAAAATATTTGAAACAAGTTTATTGTTTAATTTTGTAAGGACATAGGATTGTGAACATGTTATATAACTCAGCTACATGGGGCAAAATTGCAGGCCTTTTGTTTGTAAAGTGATTAAATATTTATTGAGTGCTCACTACGTAATCGAAAGAAGTTTTTGTTAAACTCACCCCATTGATATCCATACAGCAATGTAAATTATGGAAATGTACAATGAACAATACAATAAACAATGTAATGATGACGAAATTATGACAATAACATATACAAAACATTAAACTATTTTCTTACAAAACACAAACAAAAACACATATATTTCGTCCGTTTTTCATAAAGGTAAATATATATATATTTGTGTTAGATTAAGCTGTACTGATGCACCGGTCAAGAAATAGTTTCGAGCTGTCCTTATCGGTAATTTTGTATCACAGGCGAAGCATTTTCGCACAGACCACATCATGTGGACGATGGGGTCGGATTTCCAGTACCAGGCAGCTCACACGTGGTTTAAAAACATGGACAAACTCATCGCACATACCAACAGTATGGAGGTAAATCACAGTTAGCTGTATACATGTTTTTCATTGATCATTTATGTTTAAGACGCAAGGTAAAGATCCCATTAGACTTCTAATTTCATTTTTTCCAGATTACTCTCAGAAAACTGCATCATCACTGTAAAAGTTCGTTGAAATCTGACACTTTCTTCTGAATCTTATTTTTCCGCAACGCTTGCCTTCTGGTTACCATACAGCTAGTTTATCTTGTTTGTATGCTTTTGTGTGTGTATATTTTCTTTTAATGTCTGAAAATACATTTAATGTCTATTGGCTTCCATGCCTGAAACAAAAGACAAAAATGAAATCTAACTTCTTTTTAAAAGCCTTTTTTTTGGTTGCTGTGAGACCTTCACGTTTCCTGTGTCTTTTAACTCCCTGCCACTCTTCTGTCATTCTTTCCAACCCACGTGTTTTCAAATTAATCTGTCCGAACGAATAGCTAACTTATGTTTGCCACCCAAAACAATACTTCTGTACTATGGAAGTAACAATTTTGGAGAATTATATATGTTTGTGATAATCAGCATATAGAAACATCATTGCTAAATATATGTTGATCCTCTGCCCATTATTTGCTATGTCATGATTTTATTAACAATTCCATCTTTTTTTCTTTGACAAATAGAACACAAAGGTGAACCTTCTGTACTCGTCCCCGTCCTGTTACGTCTACCACAAAAACAACGCCTCAGCAGCGCCTCCTGTCGTTAAGTTTGCGCACAACAACACGGCCGACTTCTTCCCCTACGCGGACCAGCCGCACGCCTTCTGGTCGGGATACTTCACATCCAGACCTGCCTTTAAGGGATATGTCAGGAGATGTAACAATCTGCTACAGGTAAGGGACGTAGGGCATAAAATGCTGCAAGTGTAACAACTGTCAAACGTGGTATATAGCGGAATGGCATGGCATTTGGCCCAGCTGAAACCATAGGTCCTGGGTTTCAATCCACGTACATTGCCCAACTATACACTACATTCTTCACTTCACCTAGCTATAAAGGAATGAATGAACTTTATTGGTCGACAATCGTACATGGCAAAATGTGTGGCAGTACCCAGATTCGCTTAAGATGTCTGTGATGTGATACATACAAAAGTATTGAGGCAGCCTCATAAGATGTCGAGTGGGGGCATGTGTTGAGGTCAGTCGTGGTTCAGGCTTTAGAGAGAGAGAGAGGGGGGGTGGGGGGTGGTTAATAGACTTGTATTAAACAGTTCTTGGAGACTTAGACCCGGCTTATTCCTGACAACGTCCCTTGGAAAGGATGTTCAATCGACGTTTCATTTTTGATGCAAGCAACATCTCTTGTACGTTAAAGACGCACAGAATAATTTGGAAAAGGAGTAGGGGTATGCCCCGTTGTGCGATGGTACAAATTCTACCGTCCGGAGTTGGTAATTCACTAAGAGCAAATCACCTGATAGAGACCTGGCAATCCTCCGTCTCAGTTTATCCTAAAGGTTAAACATGGTAGCCCCATGCGGGTTGGACAGCCTATCAGCTAAACGAACAAATGACAAAGTTAATTAATATAACGTACTACACGAAGACTCGCAAAGTTGTGGGGTTGTACTAAAGCCAGTGTTTATACCTCATCGTCCCTATTTATTTATTTTTTTATTTGTAATATGTTTACGGGTTAGAAACTTTGTTTTTTATAGATCGTAATGCTTTTTGGAAACGATGTAGTAATCAGTGTGTAAAATCAGTGTCAATCTTTTCACCTTGGCAGGTTTGTAAACAGTTGGAAGTTATCGGAGGACCGAAGTTTTCCGACAAGGTCCCCCTGCCGACATCAGAAAGGCTCAGTAAGGAATTCTACGTATTTTATAATAAACATTCGGTTGTAAAAGTAGACAACAGATATCAAATTCGTCAAGGACATTAGCCTGGAATCCATCCTTGTTAGCTTTGGTCCGATCCCCAAGTGTTGGCTGAGTAGCGGATCTTTGCGATGGAGAGCGGACCGCGGCTAACAGGGCTGGACTCTAGGCAACAAGGACATCTGATGTGATAGAACCTTTTTGTCTGTTTAAAAAACCTTCAATTTTATGTTGATCATATTCTATATTTTTTGGTATCATGTCATAATTACATGTTTTTTATATTCTTAAAAACTTTGCATGTACTCTGTTTTTGTGTATGAAAAAAGTAACATTACAATTCGATTGACATAAATATATAATACTACATTGTGTATTCCGTGATACGCCGTGTAGTATTTTATCTAGGTCATGAGACATTTCAATGCAAAATGTGCCAAAATTCAGTGAATCTAAACAACAAGTGTTATGGCGTCCATTCCAACATCAGAATTTGGTGTTAGAAGTTAGTAACACCTGTACCCAACGTTTTCGCTGCCCGGGTATGACAGATACATGAACTGCCATTATTTTTTTTTTTTTTTTTTTTTTTTTTTTTTTTAACACCTTTATTCAGTATACATGAAATCATACAAACAAATCATATGCAGTGTACATAATAAACAGAGATAAAGTAAGGGAAGATAAAATAACATCGGGTAATCATTCATAAATTCATAACAAAAGAAAGGTGTGTATATGCCATATGGTTGTAACGCCAGTAAGTACAAACTCAGATTAGCGCTAAATCCTAGCTGAATATGGGTAATTTCGACTTTAATATCAAAGTAAAATTAACATGTTTTGTATTTTATATTCACAGGAGAGGCGATGGGCGTCGCGCAGCATCATGACGCCGTCAGGTAAGAAAAACAAGACGTTTGGTTTGCTTTTTTTTTAATTTTCACAATCATAATAATGATCACTCTTGCAATATCATTTTCACATTGGAGGAGTGAGGAAAGCCGTGTAAAGATCGCTGGCAAGGTAGGGTTGGAACCCGGGACCTCTTAGTTCCGAGCCGAACACGCTACCGTGTTCTAATGTTACATAATGCAAGTATAAGACCTCACGAGGTCTTATACTTGCATTATGTAACATTAGAACATTAGGACGATACAAAAAGTTAATTTTAGTCGTTTCTGCCCAACGTTAATCATAGCATTCCTACTTTATTCCAAATATGTATCATTCAAGAAGTGTGTATGGGAGGGGGGAGGGGCAAATTCTGACGCCTCACGACTGTGTTTAAAAGCTGAGAACACAGCCGTCGGTCATGTTTGTTTATATTCTGGTAGTCTGTGGTGGTACCAAACTAAGTGCGCCTCGTGTGGGTTGTTGTTGCGCCAACCATAAGTGTCAGAAATATGACATATTTGCACAAATTTTTCAAAATGTTAGAATTAAAACCCCATGAACATTTTCTCCAAATAAAATATTTCACTTTTTGATGAAAACGTTTTACATAATGCCTCTTTAATGTTTCCTAATATGTATCTGATATGTGGCGTTAGCTCTCCCGAGTTAAACTTTGAGTCGGGAGTACGTCTATGTATAAGTCATTTGAACAACTACAGTACGTACCTACTGATAATTATAAAAGTTATTGTTTCTGCTTATTTATTTGTTCATTTTTATCAGCGGCACGGAGAAACAACACGTGGCAAATGACTACGCCATGCGGCTTCACGCAGGCGCAGTGGAATGCCAGGTAACGTTGTTGTATCTGTTACAACATGATTCTTTACTTTGCAGTTTTGCATTTCAAACTACACGTGCCTATCAAACTTATATAATGCGTATAATGTGTTTAAACGACCTTGTACCTTGAATGATAATCTGTATTGTGAATCTAAATTAGCACATTCTACACACTTCATAGAGTTGAGTAGAGCAAAGTAGAGTAGAATAGCGTAGATTGGTGTAGAGTAGAGTAGAGTGAAGTAGGAAAAAGTAGAGAAAGAATAGTGTAGATTGGAGTAGAGTAGAGTAGAGTTAAGTAGAAAAAAGTAGAGAAAGAGTAGAGAAGAGTAGAAAACAATTGAGAAGAGTAGATTATAGTAGAGTATACGTAGATTAGAGTAGAGTAGAGTAGAGTAGAGTTAAGTAGAAAAAAGTAGAGAAAGAGTAGAGAAGAGTAGAAAACAATTGAGAAGAGTAGATTATAGTAGAGTATACGTAGATTAGAGTAGAGTAGAGTAGAGTAGAGTAGAGTAGAATAGTGAAGAGTCGAGTTAAGTAGAAAAGAGCAGAGAACAGTAGAGTAGAAAATACTGAGAAGAGTAGAGTAGAGCAGAGCAGAGCAGAGCAGAGTAGAGTAGAATAGAGTAGAGTTCATTAGAGAAAAGTAGAGTAGAAAAGAGCACAGAAGATCAGAGTCGAAAATATTAATACGAGTAGAGTGGAGTAGATAAGAGTAGAATAGAGAATAGTAGAGTAGAGTAGAGTAGAGTAGAATAGAGAAGAGTAGAATAGAGTAGAGAAGACTAGAGTACAGTAGAGTACAGTAGAGTAGAGTTCTAAGCTGAGTGAAAGTTTTTGATGTTCTACATACATTAACAATATTTTGCAGGTTATCGTCAGCATGACTCTACAGCAGAGAATGGCAAAAGATAGTGCCCTGCCGCCTATACCTGAGTTCTGTAACTACCTGAACATCAGCGTCTGTCCAGTTACTGAAAACGAGTTGATCAAGTCGGTAAGTAACTTTACTTTACGTGAGACCAACACAACTCAATATGATATATCTTTTTTAAAGGCATTCGATCCAATCTTAGCATGATGGTAAATTGGATTTTTTTATTTTTAATCAATATTTTAATGTATTAAGTAAAATCAATCCTAACTTTTAAGTGTCGAGGATGATGATGAAAATGTTATAGAAACTAGAAAGGCCGACATTTGCTTTGGAGCAAATACAGCAATGGCTTCACCACATTTTACGACATGGCAGGGAAAGAATGAGAAACACAAGGGAAAACAATGCTTTACATTGATATAACTATAGTATGAAGTAACATACAACTAAGACTACAACAGTTGGATAGCTATTCCCTACATTATTGGTTAGGATTTTTAATTGCATAATGCAAACTGTTGATTTTCAAGAAAAAAGAAGCGTTCATGCCCCGCATTCCAATGCTGGAGCAGGAAAGCTTAAAATACCTACCAAAACACTTGAATACAGACCTACTGTCAGTATGGAATGGCTCTGTGCAGGTATTAATTAAGTTAAGCCTGTTAAATTCCAACAGCCAATCAGCAAGGAGAATAGAGGAAAGCTGTATGCCTATTGGTTGATGCCCTGCATTCCATTGTGATGACTCATGCCCAAATGTGGTAACACTGCACACTAACTCAGTAATACATTTGCTATAACACAGCCAAAAAACTCAAATAAAACCATTCTAAAAGCCTGTATCACAAAAATTAAAAGAACGCCTGGGGGTATTTGCCTACTGTACCTCCATACCAAATTTCAGGTCCTTAGGCCCCAAAATGAAGAAGCTGAATCCATTTAAAGAAATGGCAGGAGGAGAAGAAGAAGGAGGAGAATCATGAGAAAAAGCAATATGGTTTCACCACTTTGTGGTGAACCCATAATGACGGTAAATATCAGACAGATTTGCCCATCCAAAATACATTTTTTGGTGAAATGGCATTTAAAGCTTTACTGTGCCGGTTAGGCAAAGCTATTTTTATGTCTTCTCAGACTACCCTGTGCCCTTTATAAGTGTGCTTAGAAACGTGATGTATTAGATCTCTAAACAATTTACCGGTCCTGATTTTTACTCCGTGAGACTATTATAACTCCGTATAACACAACCAGACAGCCTTTTTTTGCTGTATATTTCTGAAATTTACCTAGTAATTACCTCGTAAAATACACCAGAGCAGTTAACATGTCGTATTTCACGAGTAAATAAAACCTCAAACAAAACAAATTCTTGGGCAGTCTTTAGAAACCCGTTTTTTGTTTGTGTTTCTTTGAAAAGAGACCGGTGCCATCTGATTGTTTTTGACCAGCAAGGATTTCAGAGCAAAGGAAACTAGAAAATTACAACTTATGTTCATCACTTTATGGGAAGGTGGGAAGGTAACAATACCAATGGTAATTTAACCTCAAGTTTTTTTCTAATGATTTTTCTTTGACCTTTTTGCTTCAGTTCACGGTGACAGTGTACAATCCCTTGGCACGTCAGCTGACCGGATATTACGTACGACTTCCGGTGAATGGAGATGCCTTTGAGGTTATTACTGACCCGAAAGGCATAAATGTTATAACTCAGGTAAGCATGTGGATGACTATATCTAACGAAAAATCCATTGTAAGTATACTAAGCATTCTTACATGGAATCCAAATGCAGATCAACAATGGTGTGTATGAAGCATTATGCTGTTTGTCAAAGAAGGTTAGACAAGTTATCTTAAAAGTTCATCTGTGTTGGTAGAAATCATTATAAAGCAAGTTAAAACTGTAATTTCCAATATGAGAAATTGGACTCCAATTTTCAACAGTACAACTCCAGTATTTGTCCACGAATGAGCAATTCACCGCTTCCGTGACGTCACGCAGATAACACACGTGACTCCGTGAACAGTGGATCATAGGCCCTCAACAGAGACGGGGGGCGCCACAGACTTTCTGCAACCTATGATCCACTGCTAACGGAGTCACGTGTTTTATCTGCGTGACGTCACGGAAACGGTGGATTGCTCATTCCTTGATAAACACTGGAGTTGTACAGTTGAAAATTTGGTTGAGTCCAATTTCTTAATTTGGAAATTACAGTTTAAACTTGCTTCATAAGGTTAGACATCCAAAATGAGACACTAGACAACTGGATAGGCTCTGTATAGTAGGCTCAAATAATATTTTTCTTCCATATTGTGACGTTTCTACCTTCTGTACAACTGGAGGGGGGGGGGGGCAAAACCAATCAGAAATAGAGATTGCATAAAACATACGTAGATCAGTTGCTGTGTGTAAAGCCACTGTCACATATTAACGAATTGGGTCTCGCAAACACTGTCGAGCTCGTCCCAACCCTGGTTGGAAGTGACAAGATGGCCAGGAACAAGGTTGACTTGTGTTCGGCCAGGCCTGCCACCTTAACCCTCAAACACCCGAGCGGGGTCCATTTGGACCCCAGGCATATATTTTTAAGTGCTATTTGAATTTTTTTCATTCGAAAAAAAATTCCTCCCGTGACTTTGTCGATAAACCTCTTCTACAAGTTCTCCTAAATTTTTTTGGAGATCGACACAAATTTGTAAAAATAACAACGGAAGACCGTCTGGGGTCCAAACGGACCCCAGCCATGTATTTGCACTTTCCTACACACAGAATTGTTCGGATATCCTCACTATGTCTTTAAGGAAGCATAATTGCTTTGATATCATGCAGTTTGCCAAGTAACCTCAACCTCAGGAATTAGGTCATCAGGTTTTTAGACGTTTGACAATTTGACAATCATATGTTCATGCCTGCAGGCCTCATCCCATTTTTGCATAAATTATGATAATGAGCTGGAATTTTTAACACTTAATCATGCCAAAATATATCTCTTACTATGTTTAACCAATATATATGCAAAGATCACTGAAAGAATACAAAAAGGAATATAAATTTAAATGAAACCAAACGGGGTCCATTTGGACCCCGTTCGGGCATTAACGTCACAAAAAAAGTTTGGGTGTTTGAGGGTAAAAAAATTAAAAAAATTAGTTTCTGGACAAGAAAGTCGGCCATGTTGCTTGGCTGATGTTTAGGTGTTATGCCTAGGTCATATTTCCAAACCGGGGCCCGGCCGGACTGTTTGTATGAACGAAAAACTCACAATTCGTATCAAGAATATACAGAAAGAGTGTCCATGATTACTATCAAAAATTCTGTGTTTTGTTTTCTGTTATATCGTGCTTTTTGTTCCATAAGACTGCCCGGCCGGGCCCCGGTTTGGAAATGTGACCTCAGCATTGGCGTATTTGACTTTCAAATTTAACTACAATTCAACTAAAATTAATTTGTACACAAGGGCAAATCTTGTCAGACTCAAGCCATTTTTAGTCGGCTGGCGTTTCAAAGTAGATTCGGATTATGTGACAGGGACTTAAAATACGAATCGACATTGTCGATGACTGTGTTGTTTTATGATCCAATATAATCCGATGCCATGTGGCTACACATATTTTCTCTTGTTGCCTAGGTAACGAAGGTGAGCCCCCGGACACAGGAAATCGAGAAGGGGCTGTAGTACTTACCTCCATGGAGCTAGCTCCATGGAGCCAGCTCCATGGAGGTGAGTAGTACAGCCCTGCGGCAGATTAATTTCCAGCTCCATGGAGCTAGCTCTACGCACTATGAATGCATATACGTGGTTCACGTCACCTTCAAGAAAAATGCATATACATGGTTGACGTCACCTTCAAGAAAAAACAGAAAAAACAATAGGGGCTGTACTAATCGCCTCTATGGAGATAGCTCTACGCGCTATGAATGCATATACATGGTTCACGTCACCTTCAAGGAGAAGAAAAAATGGCATGGCCTCTATAGAGCCAGCTCCATGGAGGTGAGTAGTACAGCCCTGCGGCAGATTAATTTCCAGCTCCATGGAGCTAGCTCTACGCACTATGAATGCATATACGTGGTTCACGTCACCTTCAAGAAAAATACATATACATGGTTCACGTCACATTCAAGAAAAAAAAGAAAAAACAATAGGGGCTGTACTAATCGCCTCTATGGAGATAGCTCTACGCGCTATGAATGCATATACGTGGTTCACGTCACCTTCAAGAAAAAATAGGCATGGCCTCTATAGAGCCAGCTCCATGGAGGTGAGTAGTACAGCCCTGCGGCAGATTAATTTCCAGCTCCATGGAGCTAGCTCTACTCACTATGAATGCATATACGTGGTTCACGTCACCTTCAAGAAAAAATGGCATGGCCTCTATAGAGCCAGCTCCATGGAGGTTGAGTAGTACAGCCTTGCGGCAGATTTTTTTCCAGCTCCATGGAGCTAGCTCTGTGCACTGTTAATGCATATACACGGTTCACGTCAACTCGAAGAAAAGTTGGCCTCTATAAAGCTCGCTCCATGCACTATGAAAGCATACACATGGTTCACGTCACCTTAAAAAATTGATCTCCATGGAGCTAGCTCCATGGAGCTGGCTCCATGCACTATGAATGCATTTACGTGGTTCACGTCACCTTCAAGAAAATGAAATTGACCTCTATAGAGCCAGCTCCATGGAGGTGAGTAGTACAGCCCTGAGGCATTGTTTTTGGTAGCTCGATCTTTTCCGATACCCATCCGGCCTGTAGCTGCATCGTGTTCTTCGCGTTGTCAATATCAGAAACCGCGTCACCATGTGCGTGTGAAATACGGTGAATAAAGGATACAAAAGAGATGTTTTAACAGATTATTTTATGACAGGAAGGTCGTA